TTTTCAGCGCGTCGTCACCTTCTTGCAGGAGCAGCACCAATTCGAAGCAGACACATCAGAGGAAAAGTGATTGACCAGCACTTCATCGACATTTCACCACCATCACAGTTCTATCATCATTTTCTTTTCTTTTATTTTATTTTATCTTTTTACACTATCTCGCTTTTATTCACCATCTTCTCACCAACTTTTTCACACTGGGGACAGTTTGATTTAAGTCTAGGAGAGGATGTCTATCCCCACTAATCATTTTCTCGCTTTGTTTTTAAATTTCAAGTACTTTTTTTTTAATTTAATATGTAACCTATACGACCTTTAGTATTTTTTCAGAAATGTTTGACACAAAACTATGATGATTTAGACCTGCACGTTTCTACACTACGCATGATAACTCATTTGTGGTTAGCACTAGACTAGGCGGTAGCTAAAGAACTCCCACCAGAGGATTTCTATTCATGGAGATTCTTTCTGACAGGATACACTAGCTTATTTTATTTGACCTTAATATTGATATCTAATTTTCTCATCATTGATTATAGGGAGGCATTTAGATATACATCTAGGACATCTTTTTCTTCATTTTTACCACTTTTTGTCGTCCTAGATGGCCAATTCATCTTTATCTGGTACCATACTTTGTTTTCAAACCTCATGCATTCTCTTTTTAGTTTATATCAGCAGATATGTGCAAAAATGTCGTAGAGAAGAGGAACGACACAGTTTTTAGTCACTCAAGAGAAAGACTGAATAGAATTGGTAAGAAAAAGTATCAGAAACCTTATCAAGCTTTATATTGCTTCAGAGAACTCATTCTTATTTGTAATTTCGTGCTCTCTATGGCTCTATATCTAAAGGTGTTTCCCCTTCAAAAAAAACAAATGAATGAAAGGAAAGGAAACAAAAAGCCTAATGAGTCCTAGATTGTCGAAATTATTTGGAGCAAAGGCAACCACTATTCATCTAAGGAGCTATGGTTTTGAAAGATAAACAAAAATCTAAGTCTGGGGGAGTTAGGAGAAAACCTGAGAAAGAAGACCAGAGATTTATGGCAAGAAGAAAGTGACTAGAAACTGTGGTTATCAACAGTTTCACTCTCTCTTGCGGTTTTGCATAAAATCTTGCATCTTCCAGATCTTCAGGTAACCCATAAACACTTTAAGCCTTACCCTTTAAATGACCCCTTTTGATACCTAGCCTAGATCGCCTTGCTTATACTTTCTTTGATGAGAACAACCAAAATTTTAAACGAATGTTAAGAGCTAGTTGACTGGAAGTTAAATCTAAGTGCAATAGAATTCTGCATGATGGATGAACGGACTAGTTATGCCCGTATTTTTAGTGATAATTTTCTAAGCTATTCTCGATTGATGCATAATGATTGATATTAGTCTAGAAGTTTTGTCTCTGAGATTTTGTTAGTTCCTGCGTTTTCAAACCTCTCACCAAGATTTAGCCTTTGTTTTGTTTGAGAATAAACAAAAGTCTAAGTCTGAGGGAGTTGATAACACCGGATTTTGAACATTTTTATGGATCACTTTAATATCTTTTGCAGGTGTATTTACTCCATTTTCAAAGGTTTTCAAAGGATTTTTATGTTTTTGGATTTTAAATGACTTTTTAGGTAATTTGGGATAAAGATGTGCAAATTGGAACAAAAAGACTCTTTTGGATAAATGCAGACCGTCAGAACTCTCATGGAGAGACGAAGACCTTCCCACCGTCTGACCACCCTCAAAATTGGAAAATTAATAGAAGACCCAACCAGCTTTCAAATGCACTTGGTTTGGAGACATTCCAACGGTTGGATCTCAAGATATTCCATTTGCCCTGGAGACACTCGAAGAGGGACAGCAAGCCACGGGACTGCGGCCAGCAGCCCATCCACCGCGGCAAGAGCCACGCGACCGCGGCCAAGCCTTCATTCCCCTCGGTCACAGCCCACGCAACCGCGGCCAAGCCTTCATCTCCGACCTAAGAAGCCCATTTCTGAAGCCCAAGTCATTTCCCAAGCCTCAATTCCGGAACCCTAGAGACATTGGAGTATTGAAGACTATAAATACTTGTCATTTAGGTTGTTTTTAGACATCACCTTTCATACTTTTACAGAAACCCTATTTCCAGCCGTTTTATGTGATTTTTAGAGAACATTGTTCAACTCTGAGTTCATCAATAGAAAAGCTTTCTTTCATATTTTTTCTTTACTGTTTTTGATTGCTTTCATTAAAACCAATGATGATGTCGATCTCAGCCATGTCTGAGTAGATTCCGAGTTGGGATTAGGGTTCCCGAAAGGGGCTCTACTAATTGATTGAGACATCTAGGTTTTTAGATTTGGGATTTTAACTATGTTCTCTGTTTATTCTCATCTTTAATGCATGTATGCTTGATTGATCACCTCGTATCTGATCTATATAGTTAGTGTTGTGAAAGTTTTCATTAAGTATCCGACCTAGAATGAAACAGGAAGTTTTTCCATAGGAGTGGAAACCTACCTGCGGCGAAATTGGGAGTATTGATGAGTCTTGTGAAGCTCTTGCGTTTTTTCCCCTCCAGGGCCAGAGTGGAAACCTACTGATCAGGTTTGCGAGAAACAGTTAGTTATGATCACGACGGTGATGTAGTCATACCGCCGAACTCTAGCTCTAGAACCCTAATATTTCAATATCCGTCAATCTCAATATAAAATCCCTAGTGTTGAAACCGATTATGATCCCTGTAGTGTTCCCAAAAGCTCAGCATTTTTGGTCATAGTTTACAAACCAATCGATATTTACTTCCTTCTCTAGATCTGCATTTTATTTTCCTTAGTTCGATTTTCTGCTTGTTTCATTTGCTTTCATTCGATTTTTTACTTTCTTTTTAGGATAGATTCATTTGCTTTATTTAGTTTTAGTTTAATCTGTGACAAACAACCAACCCCTAAAACCGATTTAGTCTAGACATAAACTTAGAAACCATAGAAAAATACCAGGCACACAAATCCCTGTGGATTCGATCCCTAAGTACTACAATTGATTAGTTGTGCACTTGCAGCTTTCAATTGTTTTTATCAAGGGTAAAATTTGTTCCCTCACCTCGTAGCACGTCAAAGAAAGAGATCATAAGTAGGTGGTCTGAGCCTTCAAACCGGAGATACTTACATCTTCCTTGTGGAAAATTTTCAGCCCATTCACTGTTTGATATTGCTCTGTCAAGGCGGCAGTGGATGTTGTGAGTATTCCTGACCCCCCACCATGAAAGCGGATTACCTGTGTGACTGAGGTCATATAGATCGCAATGGGCCATGAATTCCATGAAGTCTCCAAATGACCCTTCAACACGAATTGGTCCACCTGACTTCTCTGAATTATCCAATATCTCATTGATCTCACTGGTTAGAAACCACAGGCCATCTGTTGTCTCCGTAAGCATTGTGAGTGAATCCCAAACTGCCTTTGTTTTTGCCTTCTCAGGTTCTCCGTAGACAAAATTTGAGAAGAAACTGTTTTTTGTGTTTAATAGATGTATCAATGAAGTCCTTGCAGGCTCGAAGTACTGTCAGCTAATAACACCTGATTTTGACCATTTTTATGGATCACTTTCAGTATCTTATGCTGGTTTTTTCAATCAATTCTGAAGGTTTTATAAGTGTTTTCAATGTTTTGGAGTTTAAAAAGACTTTTCAGGTTACTTAGACAAAAACAATGCAAATTGGAGAAAAATCCACTTTTGGCCAATTTCGAACCGTCAGAATTTCACATCTGATGAAGACTTTTTCACCGTGCGATCAAGCTCATATTTGACCACAAGATAGAGGATACAACCAGGTTTCCAATACAAGTTGAATCAGAGCAATCTAACGGTTGGATCATAAGTTATTTCCAGTTTATTGAAGACATGTTCTGCAGTCTCGCGAAAGAAGCAAGAGAAGGAATGAAGTTTGGGCATCATAGACCAACCACCGTGTTCCAGGAACTCGTGACCGCGGTGAAAAAAATCCTGGCCACGCCTCAGAGTCTTCATACACGGTGGACCAGCATTTACCAGGCCTCGAGAGACTTGTTTCTGCGACAAGCCCATAAACGGCCCAATGGCCTGTTTTCAAGCCCAACTCATTCTCTCTTCACAAGAAGCCCTAAGGACGACCAGAAACACTTGGAGACCTATAATATGTATTTTAAAAGACCTAATTTTGGGTGTGCTACTTTTCCCTTGATAGGGAGGCACCAAACTTTTGTTTCTTAGGTTTAGATTAGGGAGATAAAGATTTTTCTCTTGAACATTTTTTCTTTCTTTTCATCTATCTATTCAGTTTATGCAATATCTTTTACGTTACTGCTTTTCTATTTCAAAACCAATGATGATGTTGTCAAGCTCAGCCATGTCTGAGTAGTCACCTTGCTGGGTGAAGAGGGCCATCGAAAAGGGATCCCATGACAGATGACATCTAGGTTTTTTAGGCTAAAGGATTTTGATTTTAAATGATTCTCATATTCATCCAAATCTCAATGCGATAACGCTGGAGTAGCTAACCAGTGTCAGATCCTAGGTTAAATCTAAGCCACGAGAGTGTTGTATCTAGGTTGCCTGAACTGGATCTCATGGACGTCACCGTCGTAGGAGACGAAAGCTACCTACGGAGGATACGTAAGCCAAGATGGATTTTGAGCTAAAATGCATGATCTTATTCTAGCATGAGAGCGAGAGTTAATTGCCAAGGATAAGTGATTAAATGATTAGGGTGACGAGAGTTGGCTAATCATACAAGTGTCTATCCTAGTTTCAGAATCATAGAAAATCCTTACCTAGATTCCTTGTGTCATAGATCATGAACCCTAGAGATGAACCCTAATGCCCAACACGTTTTTCATCCTTGTTTTGATATATTTTTTATTTCCTGTTTAGATTAGTAGAAATCGTGACACAAAAACCCCACAAAAAAACACCATTGGTCTTTGACTTCGATTACTAATCCAGTTTGAAGTTTCTGCAGAAAATCCAGTTTGAAGTACTACAAGGCACGACTGTGCACTTGCAGACACTAGGGTTTATAAATTTTAAAATATTTTGCGTCAGCAACGCTAGCTTGCATCATCAGCTCAGAAGATGAATCCCACTATAGAGCAAGTCTGCCTCCTTCAGGACTGTGAGGGGAAACAAAGTAGTGATTATAGTCGTCCAGACAGGTAAGTGTTTTCATAATCATCTCCTCACTGTTCTTTGTTTCCATGAGGAATATGATGTTAGGAGCTAAAGATTGTCTACACTCCTTTATTCAACTAACTGTTGCAGGATTCCCCAACCCGCAACAGTTCCAGCTCATTACTCCTAAGGAACATGATTTTGCGGATTGTGAAAATCTGCATCCTCAGTTGAGGACTAAACATTTTTTTGGTTTGACTTGCAGGAAAACATTGTATCGTCCGCGAAAAGGAGGTGATTAATCATGGGACTTCCTTGTGCAACTCTGATGCTAGGTAAAGTGTCATCCTTCGGAGCTTTTAAACATAGACCAGACAGTACTTGTCCACAGAGGATAAATATGAAGGGTGAGAACAGATTCCCTTGTCTTATTTCTCTTTGTGGGATAACCATCCCTTGGGCCAAGTCATTGATTAGGTAGAAGTAGGAGACAGTAGATACACATTAATAGATCCAGTTTACCCATTTGGGGTCAAATTAATCTTCGTTAAACTTGACACAGGAAATCCCATTTTATTCTGTCATACGCTTTGCTCATGTTAGTTTTTACAGCCATTGAGCAATATTTTTTGCCTCTGATGTTTTTATAAAATGAAGCATTTCATGTGTAATCATCACATTGTCTGAAATTGCTCTCCCTGGGACGAACGCAGCTGATTTTCAGAGATGATGTCACTCAGAGTAGGCTGTTGCCGCTTGGTAAGCATCTTGGATATTTTTTTGTAGAAGATGTTGCATAGAGCTATAGGTCTATAGTCAGGAACCAATTTTGGACTTTTGATATTCGGGATGAGTCTAACAAAATTATGGTTGATATTTCTTGGCAGTATTCCCGAAGAGAAGAAAGTTTGGACCTCTTTGACAATAGCCGGTCCCACAATGTCCCAATTCGACTGAAAGAAATTGGCAGAGAAACCATCAGGCCCAGGGGCCTTATCCGGGTTGATGGCAAAGGTGGCATCTTTGACTTCCTCAGGAGAGGGATCTGAATTAAGGGCATCATTCATCGAGTTAGAGATGCAGGTTTCCGGACTTGGTTCACAATTTTCGCTCTATCTTCTTTGGTTGAGGAGAACAAGTCCTGAAAGTAGTTTGTGTTGACACTTGCCATTTGATCTTTTTCTGCATCTAGAGATTCAAAGATCTACTGAGTAGGCTCGAAGAATGATAACACCGAATTTTGACCATTTTTATGGATCACTTTAATATCTTTTGCAGGTGTTTTTACTCCATTTTTAAAGGTTTTTAAAGTATTTCTTTTTTTTCGGATTTTAAAAGACTTTTCAGGTAATTTGGGATAAAGAGGTGCAAGTTGGAACAAAAAAACTCTTTGGATAAATGCAGACTTTCAGAACTCTCATGTAGAGACGAAGACCTTCTTACCGTCTGATCACCCTCAAAATTGGAAAACTACTAGAAAACTCAACCAGCTTCAAATGCACTTGGTTTGGAGACATTCCAACGGTTCGATCTCAAGATATTCCATTTTCCCCGGAGATACTTGAAGATGGCCAGCAAGCCACACGACCACGGTCAGCAGCCCATCCACCGCGGCCAGAGCCACGCAACCGCAGCCAAGCCTTCATTCCCTACGGTCACAGCCCACGCGATCGAGGCCAGACATCTCCGACCTAAAAAGCCCATTTCTGAAGACGTCATTTCCCAAGCCTCAATTCTGGAACCCTAGAGACCTTGGAGTATTGAAGACTATAAATACTTGTCATTTAGGTCGCTTATAGATATCACCTTTCATACTTTTACAGAAACCCTTTTTCCAGCCGTTTCATGCGATTTTTAGAGAAGATTTTTCAACTCTGAGTTCATCAATAGAGAAGCTTTATTTCATCTCTTTTCTTTACTGTTTTTGATTGCTTTCATTAAAACCAATGGTGATGTCGACCTCAGCCATGGCTGAGTAGATCCCGAGTTGGGCTTAGGATTTCCGAAAGGGCTCTCATAATCGATTGAGACATCTAGGTTTTTAGATATGGGATTTTAACTATGTTCTCTGTTTATTTTCATCTTTAATGCATGTATGCTTGATTGATCACCTCGTATCTGATCTAGATAGTTAGTGTTGCGAAAATTTTAATTAAGTATCCGATCTAGAATGAAACAGGCGATCTAGAATGTGGATTCGATTCCTAAGTACTACAACTGATTAGCTGTGCACTTGCGGCTTTCTTGTTTTTATGTCTTTGTTATTTTTCTTGTTCTAATTTCTGTTCTAGACATCTGATCTCTAGTTCCTTTTGAAGTTGCTCAATTATCTTTCATTTTTTTTCTCTCTGAATTGCATGAAAACCTGGCGCAGACCTGTAGAAACCATTCCAATGCTAGACGAGATAGACAGACACGAAAGAGAACTTCGAAGGCTTAAACGAACACAAGCAATGACAGACGACGACCAGCCTGGAGATCCTGTTAACCGAAACTTAAACATGGACCAAGATGGGTCCAAACATGGTGAAAATGAAGAGAATGATCACAGAGATGGTGATCATGCTCGGCAAGATGGAGAAGAGAATAAGATCCCTCCAAGAAATCCTAAAAACCAAGAGAGAGAAGAATGCGAAGACCTTGATGCACCTATCAATGTAGCCGATGGTAACAACCAGGATATGCAGCCGAATGGGCGCAATAACCGCCGTGTTCAGCAAACAAATCAACACCAAAGACAAACTATGAACCATTGCATAGCTGGTTTCGATGCACTTACTCAGAATTTTCAAAATCGATCTGCAATTCAAGTACCATTTCCATGGAGTTCAAAGTCAACCTTAAATCATTTTCAACCAGAATGAGTTCGAAGTCAACCTCAAATCATCTATTTGGTGAAACAAAGCCAGTTACATGGAGTTCCTTCCGAACATCCAATGGATCACATTGAACTCTTTGAAGAAATCTGCAGCATGATGAGGACAAACCAAGTTCCAGCAGACTATTTAAAGTGTAAGATTTTCCTTTTTCATTAGCAGATAAAGCTCATCGTTATTTGAAATCGTTGCTTGCAAGATCGATCTCTAATTGGGAAGAATGTAAAACCGCTTTTCTGAACCACTTCTATACTAAGTCAAGGTCGAAACTGTTGAGAACCAAGATCTCAAGTTTTCAGCAAGGACCGGATGAACCTTTCTATGAAGCCTGTGAGCATTTTAAAGAGTATAAACGTGACTGCCCTCACCATGGATTTCCTGGATCAAGCCTGCTGAGCACATATGTTCGATGAGGATTCCATTATCTATTGAAGCTGAATTCTATAATCTTTTCTTCTAAACTTATTTATCATGCATGAGAGTAGCGTCATGAACTACAATCTAATCTTGGTCCTTGGTGTTGCGAAAGTTTTCATTCGGGGCCAGATCTAATTTGAGAAGAGCAGATCGACCATAGGAGTGGAAACCTACCTATGGCAGAGATGTGAATGTTGACAAGTCTTAAGCAAAACTACATCTTTTCTCTTCCATATCAGAGTGGAAACCTACTGGTCAGGGTTGAGATTGATAGTTGGTTATGATCACGACAGTGGCGTATTCATACGTTCGTGACTCGAGTTCTAAAATTTTTTAGCTAGGGTCTTTTAATTTACTTTTTAGCAATGTTTTGATTCGTTCATCCCCCGGAGAGAATTTCTATGAAAACCCAGCGCCTCTTTTCTATTGTTCTACACCAATTTTCATTCAACTTTTTAGTCTAATATTTTACACATTCAGCCGGTTTTCATACAAGCATTTAGGTCTAGTCGTTTTCTCGTTTTTAGTCGATTTCTTTAAGTTTAGCTATTAGGTCATTTTAATTCTCGTATTTTCGTGTTAAGATTAGTTTTTACGTTTTAAAGACACCACCAAAACTCTTACAAAAATCGTCTGGTTCTAGACTTCCTTACTTCACATTTCTTTCGATGGCTTTTGCAGAAAAGTACCTCCTTTCATTTGGATTCGATCCCTAAGTACTACAATCGATCAGCTGTGCATTTGCAGCTACTGATTTCATTTAGGGTAAAACTTGACAACCCTCACACGACAACAACATCATGTTTTTGTCGCCGTTGCCGGGGAAGACACACATTTTCTTTGGTAAATCGACTCTAGAACCCTTTCTCAGTTCTTTTTGTTGGTTCTTTTTGTTTCAGTTCCCGAAGCATTGAACCCTGTAAATCGAAATTCCTACTACGAGGGAGGTTTTTACAACACTCCTCAAGCCACAAGATGCAGAGAAGAGGAATACATATGAGACCTCTTCAACTCAGTTCGAAACTCAGATCGAACTACCGAGCATACTTTGACGACCCCTACACGCCTCCAATGGTAAACCCTATACCACCTATGCATCGCCTACCTCACCAAATCCTCCAGCAGGATGAGAATGTGCAGATCAGTAATCGATTGGAGCAGCTTGAAGTCATAATAAAGCAGTTCATCGAAGCTCAAGCCGTTACTACAGCCGCTCTTAACGAAAGGATCGATGGAATATCTAAACTTTCCAACAAGAAGATCAGTGACCTTGCTTCCCAGGTCGAATCAATAGAGGACCAAGCATCAAAGATGCAGCCGTAATCGCTAATAGACTCGATAACATGGAGGATGAACAAGCAAAACACGCTTATGAGCTTCGCAACACTAATAACAAGATCATGGACCTGGATTTCAAACTCGATGATGTGGACAAGGCCCTCAACGAAGCTAAGAACGAATCTTATGACTTCACGGTCGAAGTTTCGAAGAAGGTATACCAAGTCACTGAAAAAACCGAAGAGCTCGACTCAACCATAGATAAGGTTGTTTATGCTCTTGATGAAGTTGAAGAAAAGGTTGAGGAGATCATGCAAGGACGAGTTGGAGAGAACGAAGTCCGCATTCGCAAGGCCAGTGGAAACATCCGCACCTTAGAGATCAAACTCGATGAAGCAGAAGAAACTATCAATGATCATAACAACCAGACTTACTCCTAGAGATTTGGGATGCAGTACACAAGGTTCGAGACAAAGAAGAAGAGATTGACTCGACCGTAGACAAAGTAGTCTATGCTCTTGCTGAAGTCGAAGAAAAAGTTGAAAAGCTTATGCAAGGGAATGAAGCGTATGGTTCAACAGTTCCCAACAATGATCTTTACCCAAGAGAAGGAGAAATAGAGCTGGAAGATCCAAAAAACCACTTAGAAGGAAAAAGAGAAGATGAAACGACTAAACAACCTCGGAGTCCTTCACCAGTGGTTGCACCTCACGCGACCACGGCCAGCAGCCCTCCGGCTGCGGTCGTGTGTCCTCTACCCGCGGCAAATAGCCCTTCCACCCCGGTCATGTGTCCTCCACCCGCGGCCAACCATCGGTCAGATTCGCCTCAGCTTTCCTCTACTCAGTGTTCGTTAGATGCATCTGCTGGGATGGTCAGGACCCCTTTCCTCGAGCAAACAGTGTATACCATCAGCTCTAGAACATCTCAAGAAGAAGATGAGGTACTTCCTTGCAGCATAGTTTTAGCTTATGAAGATGAATATGAAGGATAATACCTTGAAGACAAAGACTATCGTCTGTTCGTAGAAGGAGGCAATCCAGACAGATCGGTGGAACTAGGAGCACCAATCTCTAGAGAAAGACTCATTGAATTCAAAAAGTTTGTGAAGACAATCCCTCTCTATAAAGGTTTTGATGATGTGTGGGATCTTGGTTGCTTGCAAGTGTTGTTTAAGTACAACAAGGAGGCAAAGGAGGATATCCAAACTTAAATTGGGAGAGCCAGACGCTTGTATTTCCCAGACATCACCTGATGCTGCAGTTTACTCAATTCACCTTCAAAGACCTGAAGAATACAGCTACTACAACAACAAGATCAGCAAAGAAAAGCTTGATGAGTTCAATGATGTAGTTTGAAACTTAACTGAAGGAATCACCTTTGCCAGTCCTTGCAAAGACTTCATGATAGGCCATTGATTCTGTGAGAGCAAGGAATCCATTCCTGAAATAGAAGACTTGTTCAATCATGCTAGAAGAGGTAGACCTGTTCGAAAACTTCACAAAAT